ATCCTACATGAGGACTAAGTGCACAGTGACTCCTGTTGTTGACTTACCAAATTGACACTCTTGTTTGTGGCATCAGTAATCACTCTAGGCTCTTGTTATGAGCTGCCAAGACTATGGAAGCCTTAATGTTCATAAAGTTTTATTTATTATGCTTTTCTTTTATGGCTAGAGTTTTTGATATCCCGTTTAAGAAATCTTTGCTACTCCAAGTTTATACAGATATCCTCTTCTCAAAACTTATTTCACCTTTCCCATTTATACTTTGATTCATTTCAAATTAAGTTTTGTGAAGGATTTAAAATTAAGATCAAGGCTGGCTCCGCAGCTCACTTGGTTGGCTAATCCTCCGCCTGCAGTGCCGGTACCCCAGATTCTGTCATGGTAGCTCCTCTTCCAGTCCAGCTCTCTGCTGTGGCCCGGGAAGGCAGTGGAGGATGGTCCAGGTCCTTGGGCCCTGCACCCGCATGGGAGACCAGGAGAAAGCACCGGGCTCCTGGCTTCAGATTGGCACAGTGCGCTGGCCGTAGAGGCCATTTTGGGGGTGAACCAATGAAAGGAAGACCTTTCTCTCTGTCTCTCTCTCTCTCTCACTAACTCTGCCTGTCAAAAAAAATAATTTAAAAAAATTAAGATCAAGATTTTCCACATGGATTGATAATTGACTCACCACTAGGTGAAAAGATAATCCTTCTCTAGTTAATTTCCTAAACATTTTTGTTGTAAGTCAGAAGGCTATACATGTAATATATGGACTCTCAATTCGGCTAAGTTATTATTCCTTCCTCAAATGATATAATAACTAAAGAATGAATCCATATTGGCCTTAATATTTTCCTTGGAAAAATAGTCTATTACAGGTTGACTTTCTGTAATCAAAATAAGACTGTTGGCCAGCGCCCTGGCTACTAGGCTAATCCTCTGCCTGCGGCACCGGCACACCAGGTTCTAGTCCCGGTTGCTCCTCTTCCGGTCCAGCTCTCTGCTGTGGCCCGGGAAAGCAGTGGAGAATGGCCCAAGTACTTGGGCCCTGCACCCCATGGGAGACCAGGAGGAAGCACCTGGCTCCTGGCTTCGGATCAGCGCGGTGCGCCGGCTGTAGCTGCCATTTAGGGGATGAACCAATGGAAAAGGAAGACCTTTCTCTCTGTCTCTCTCTCTCTCTCTCACTGTCTAACTCTGCCTGTCAAAAAAAAAGGATAATCTTCACCCATTCAAACCCATCCTATGATTGCTTCCCCCTTTTTGAATGAAACCTCTAAGAATCAGCCTAACGTCTACTTTCCTTGCCAGTAATAAAAAGTCCAGTTTGTTCTTTCCCAAGAATGATCTCATCTTACCAATGAATTTATTTCAGCCAACCACATAAAAGCTCAGATCTTCACTCAGAGTTACAGTGGCTCTGTTTCTCTGATCCAGGCTGCCTTGGAAGACAATAAGGTGACGGGAAGAAGACATTATTGACTACTTCTCTATTTTGCCATGCTGTTTTGTCTCTCCAAGCCTCTAACCTGTGGGCCAAGTCCTGATTTATGCAGGAAAAGGGGGAAGAGCTAATGGGAAGGAAAGAACTGAGCATTGTTAAACATAAGATCCTGAGCACAGTCGATGATCAAAGCAGATTCCTTCCCTGGACACTTCTGTATAGATTCCGTGGACGCCTCCAAACGCCATTTAGCCTTTCATTCCATTTCTTGTGATATAAGAAATGCATTTTCCTCTGGCTCCTGCAAACACATTTCTCTCTAGGCCCTGCGAATTTGGCTGGGTATTACCCTCTTATAAATCACTGGACTCACCCCATGCCTTTTGTCTCCATCCTTCTTCCCACAAAGGAACTAAAATGACTCCAGAGCCTTTACTTCTCTATGAACAACCCACACGTCCTTGCCATGCGTTACTGAAAGTATACTTAGCTGCCACGCTCTTGACTTCAATTCTGACACTTGTAGCTAATACTTCACTGCTTCTATTTCTTAGATTGCTTAGAACTCTGGTCACTGTATCCTTCAATGCAGGAAACCCATGGAAAACTGTTCCCTCTTGGTGTTCTTGCAGCCTCACCCACTAGGATTAAAGTGAAGAAGGTTTTGTGCTGGAGGGAAGAGAAGAGCCTCACAGGATGCTGAACTGTGGCAAAAAATAAAAATAAAAACCACTATTTCCTTAATTTTCAACATCTGATCCTATCTGTGCTAATTCTTTATAATCTGCGGTTGAGGCCGGCACTGCGGCTCACTAGGCTAATCCTCCACCTTGCGGCACCGGCACACCGGGTTCTAGTCCCAGTTGGGGCACCGGATTCTGTCCCAGTTGCCCCTCTTCCAGGCCAGCTCTCTGCTGTGGCCAGGGAGTGTAGTGGAGGATGGCCCAGGTGCTTGGGCCCTGCACCCCATGGGAGACCAGGAGAAGCACCTGGCTCCTGCCTTCGGATCAGCGCAGCGTGCCGGCCGCGGCGGCCATTGGAGGGTGAACCATGGCAAAGGAAGACCTTTCTCTCTGTCTCTCTCTCTCACTGTCCACTCTGCCTGTCAAAAAAATAAAAAATAAAAATAAAAAATATAATCTGCAGTTGAGTGGTGAACTGATTTCATACTACCTTTTCTGTGTGTTTATGTAACTTTTACTTGAATCTGTGTATATCTGATACTCGTTTCCTGGGGGCCTCAGTAAAAAACTGCAACCTAGAGCCCATTTGGACATCATGCTTTACCATGATTTTATATTTAGATCTTTCTTGAAGAAAAAATACATTATGAAAATAAAATGAAGCGTTTTCTTTTGCACTGACCTCACCCACCTGGGATAATGCTATCTTCAGCTGCAGGACTTGTCTTCAAAATTGCAAGCAACACTTCCTTTTTTTTTTTTTTTTTTTTTTTTTTTTTTTGACAGGCAGACTTAGTGAGAGAGAGAGAGACAGAAAGTCTTCCTTTTCCATTGGTTCAACCCACAAGTGGCCACTACGGCCAGCGCGCTGCGCCAATCAGAAGCCAGGAGCCAGGTGCTTCTCCTGGTCTCCCATGCAGGTGCAGGACCCAAGGACCTGGACCATCCTCCACTGTCTTCCCGGGCCACAGCAGAGAGCTGGACTGGAAGAGGAGCAACCGAGACAGAATCGGCCCCCCAGTTGGGGCTAGAACCTGGTGTGCCTTGTACTGCAGGCAGAGGATTAGCCAAGTGCGCCGCGGCACCGGCCAGCAACACTTCTTCAGCTCTAAGCCTTATTAAATATGTCTTTACTCCTTTATTCACTTCAGACTGGGAGCCTCTGTACCTTTCATGGGCCTGATACTCAACCTGCAGGACTTGGGGAGCAGTATCTTCCTGTTCCAGGTGCTCTTCGGAGCCATCACATTCATATCCAGATGTTCTGCCCATTTGATAATGAAACATATGGACCGGCGAATAAATCAGTCATTGTTTTTCTTCCTGGTAGGACTTTGCATCCTGGTCAACACCTTTTTGTCCCAAGGTGAGAAAGCAAGAATTTGGAATGAGTAAGTTGTTTCCCCAATCCTCAGGAATTACATGAGTCTTATATTCCTAATGCCAAAAAAAAAAAAAAATGCATTGACATTGAAACCTGAAGGGTGGGCTGAAGCTAATATGAGGGCTTGAAACTGATCCTGATAACAAGTTGTCCAAAACCTGGACTTGGGCTCCAGCTGAACCAGTGTCAGCAAGGGGTGATTCTCATATGAAGGTGTCTCCATCACATGTAGAATGAACCTGGACACCAGTTCCAACTACACAGAACAGGTTCTTTAGCAGTTACACCACATGCCTTTAAATACTGTTGGAGAATTTAAATACTCTTGGAGAGGTAGCCCTTGCAACTATAGCCCCAGATGGGCACATAGTACTCTCGCTTCCTCTGTCTTGGACTCTTCTCGAGTTTCAAGGCCTTTTCTCTTTGTCCTCTCTCACACATTTTCATATTCATTTTATGCAGATGGCATTTGAGTTATAAATGCAACAGGTTTTAGGAGAAGCTCCTTGACTACAACAAAATAAAAATCCTGTCTTCATTAAGAGAAGTGTATGGTAGGAACAAAGGGAGAGTCTAATCTTGTTCCATCTTTTAATCTGTTTTCTAATCTGTGTCTAAACAAGGAACAGGTTAATAAATTAACTCAGACTCTCTTAGAATCTATTTTACTAAAATAATTGAATGACCTTACATGATAAATATGGGAACTTCAGCCATGTCCCCAGAGCAGTAACGTATTTTTCAGTATCCCAGACTGGAAGGCTCCACTCAAGAGCCTTCTCCATTGTTTAAATATCTCTGTAGGTAATTTTTTTCATGAATTTCACAAGTGCCTTTTGAATTTTCAGTGTTAGTGTTTCTCAGGATAACATCGATCATTTCCAACTAGGAGTCCTAATTCTCTCCTGAGTGATTATTCCAGAGCGTGTGCGTCATCACACTGTCCACTCCCAAATAAATGCAATCTGTTTCTTACTATGGGATGGTATACCTGTCCCCCATCAAACATTGTTCCCCACACTGTTGGTTCCAAACTGTGCAAGATGTGGATCATAAACTCTCCATTATTACCTGTATATACATATATACATTGCAGGAAGGGCACAGGAAAGGCAATACAAACACACAACAAACAAAATTACTCAAATGTGCCAGAAGAGTTGAAGCAACAGATTGAGATCTTTTCATTCACTGTTTAAGCCACGACATTCTGCAGCCCACGTCCATCCACGTATCAACCATTCCATAACCTCTGGAAGGTTGCGGTTTCATACCTTAGATTCCACAGCTGAAACCCCACACATTCCCCAAGAGAATCTTCCCACAATTTTTTGGAGGTTGACAGATTTCTTCAGCCAAGATTTCCTAACTCTCCTTGGTCTTCCTCTCTCCAGAAATGCAAACTCTGCGTGTGGTTTTAGCCACTTTGGGAATTGGTACAGTTTCTGCTGCCAATGCTACTTTTTTTGTCCATGCTTTGGAACTCACCCCTACCACATTCAGGTACGCGAACTAAAAGATCATGTGTCTGGTTTCTATTCAGCACTTTTCTGAAATAACTGACATTTATGTGGGAATAAATCTGAGACTGTTAAAATGGCAGAGGAATAAATTTTAGCATAAATTAAGAGTTCAATTATTCAATATTAAAGCTAACTTTATACCTGTCAATGTGCCAGGTTCTATAAGGTATCATCTCGTTATCTTAAGAAACACTCTCCAGGATTGATGCTACATTTATCCCTATTTTAAAAGCAATAAAGGCCGGCGCCGCGGCTCACTAGGCTAATCCTCCGCCTAGCGGCGCCGGCACACCGGGTTCTAGTCCCGGTCGGGGCGCCGGATTCTGTCCCGGTTGCCCCTCTTCCAGGCCAGCTCTCTGCTGTGGCCAGGGAGTGCAGTGGAGGATGGCCCAGGTGCTTGGGCCCTGCACCCCATGGGAGACCAGGAAAAGCACCTGGCTCCTGGCTCCTGCCTTCGGATCAGCGCGGTGCGCCGGCCGCACCCTCGCCGGCCGCGGCAGCCATTGGAGGGTGAACCAACGGCAAAAGGAAGACCTTTCTCTCTGTCTCTCTCTCTCACTGTCCACTCTGCCTGTAAAAAAAAAAAAAAAAAAAAAAAAAAGCAATAAAATTGAAGTTTTGAGCACTTACCAATTTATCCTATCAAACAGTAAATGTCACTATTAAAGTCAAAGCTTATCTGTTTAATAATGAAGATAAATAAGAATACCATGTACAAAATTTTCTCCGTATCATTATTTGCACACAAAGGTCAACAACTGCAGGAATCAATAATGTGTTCTCAAGAATGGGGTCAGTACTGGCTCCCCTCCTGATGACCTTAGTGGTGTATTCTCCCCACCTGCCCTGGGTCATGTATGGAGTCTTCCCCATCCTTGCTGGTCTGATTGTCTTCTGCCTTCCGGAAACCAGGAATCGGCCTCTTCCTAACACCATTCAGGATGTGGAAAATGAGTGAGTAAATCCTCTAGCTGTCACCAGAGTGAGGAGTGGTTGTGTTAATAGCTCTGTCATGAAGAGGGAAATGACCATTTGCAGTGAAGGCTCACACACGGGCTATTTGTCTCCGTGTCCTTTAGTTCACTGGCAGCCTCAGCCCTACCCACTGAGGTGTCAATGCATTGCGAGGCTCTCTAGGTCACACATATCATCTCACACTAGTAGATTTAGTGGAGAAAGGGTCCAAATATTCCCAACAGGAAGGACTCATACTCTTTTATCCTTATGGGAAATGTACACACCTGACATTTTCTCATAAACCTACTAAGACTCAAATGCTTCATTTCCATCACACTGGTTTTACCATCCAAGAGCCCAGTGAGTGCTTGATACAATGTGAGAAGGGAAGTGAGTCTGGCTTGTGGACGCAAACCCGTGTGTTGCGTCAGTTAGGAAGAATTACAGGACTGGGGTATGGAACAAGCTTCCTTGCAGAGAAGACAGTATGTCTAAAGGAACTGAGTCTGTAAGATTGTCAGATTCACTACTGGTAACAGAAATTCTACAGAAATGAAATTAAGAAAAAAGGAAAATAATTTGAAATGAAGAAAAATGTGAAAGTACCCTTAAATTTTTCCGTTGTCCCTTTGATTTTTCCAAAGACACCAAATGTCTTTTAAAAAAAGACAGTGGTGACCACAGCAATGTTCAACACCACCTTCTCAGGTATGTCCAGATATCAGTACCTTTTCCAACACAAATGTGTCAATGTCATGGGTCTTGAGTGAAGAGTTGGTAGGTAGAGGATCTCCTTGGCCTTCAGCATGAAGGCTGTGTACAGTTATTCTGGACCTTGTTTGATTGTTTCCTGACTTTGTTTTTGTTTGGAATTTTTTCCCAGCACAAAAGAATCAAGAAAAGTGAAGGAGGAAGATACTTTCATAAAAGTAACACAATTTTAAGGAGTATTCCAAGAATGGATCCAAATCAGAGCAAAATGGGGGATGATATCAAGATTTTTCCTCTAAAACTATAAAACTAGCTAAAAAAATAATAATGGACAAATTGATGCCTTTTACAATCATGTATTTTTCCACAGTAATTTGACTAAGTAATTACATCATGCAATTCTTTGCAAAAGTAGCTCCAAATTCACCTACAAATTACCAATAGCCAAGGGGATTTAGAAAAAGCAGCATTATTCATGTGATCTAGCAGTCCCACCACTGGGTATATTTCCAAAGAAATGGAATCACTATGTCAAAGAGATGTCTGCACTGGCTATTTATTGTAGCACTATTCATAATGGCTGAGATGCAGAATCAACATAAATGACCAACAGATGAATGAGTAATTGAAATATGGTATAGATACACAATGGATTATTCATCTGATAAAAAGAAGAAAATCCTATCATTTGCAACAACATGGATGGACCTGGAGGACATTATGTTAGAAGAATAGGGCAAGCACAGAAAGACAAACATTGCAAGAATCTAAAATAAGTTGATCTCATAGAAATAGAGTAGTTATTCGTGCGGAGACGTTTGCAAGCCGAGGTGATGGCGACTGGAACGCCAGATCCGCAGGCGCGATTCGGTCAGTCCCTGAAGGGGCTTCTCACGGAAAAGGTGAACACTTGTGGCACTGACGTGATCGCGCTCACCAAGCAAGTGCTGAAGGGCTCGCGCAGCTCCGAGCTGCTAGGTCAGGCAGCTCGCAACATGGTACTGCAGGAAGACGCCATCTTGCACTCGGAAGACAGTTTAAGGAAAATGGCAATCATCACCACGCATCTGCAGTACCAGCAAGAAGCTATTCAGAAGAAGTAAGTAACCCCAAAGGGAGGATGTTGAGCAGTCATCAGATCTGCAGGACCAGCTGAATCATCTGTTAAAGTAGAAGGGAACAGAGGAGGGTGCCTTGCCTGGCGCGAGGCGGAGATACCGTATGCAGCCACGGTGCCGTGGGGCTGAGTTTCCATTTTCTTCTTCAGAAGTCTGAGAACTGTGCTGTCATACTGTTTCTCCTGAAAAGAAGCAAAGTGGTCGATAGCGGAATCAGACTAACCCATGCCCCTACTCAGTCTTTAAGTTGTTCTGTTTAGTTCAATATTAAAGCAAAATGAAAAGAAAAAAAAAAAAATAGAGTAGTTATTGATGGAGAGTAGATGTTGATTACCAGAGGCCCAGGCAGTTGGATAGTAGGGAGTGTTTGGGGAGATGCTGGTCAAAGAATCTAAAATTACAGTTTATAGAAAGAGTAAGTTCAAGAGATCTGTTATCTAGCCCGGTGACAATAGCTAATAACAATATATTGTATCCTCAAAAAATGCTAAAAAAAAAGTGGATGATGGTCTCACTATAAAAATAACTGTAATATGTAATGCATCTGTTAAGTAGCTAGATTTACCCATTCTGTAATATGTACATACTTCAAAAGTTTATGTTTGTGGTGAAATGAGAAAGCCATGCCAAGATGGTCACAGGCAACGGAGCCTGCCTGGCAACAGGCTGTGATTGGTTAGGGCATAAACCACCCCTTGACTGGATTGGCTGCCTCGGCTATATAAGCTGCCCATCAACAGTGGACTGGATAAAGAAATTATGGATATGTACTCTATAGAATACTATACAGCAGTAAAAAAAAATAAAATCTGGTCTTTTGCAACAAAATGGAGGAATTCTGGAAAACAACATGCTGAGTGAATTAAGCCAGTCCCAAAGGGACAAATATACTGTGTTCTCCCTGATCAACTAACCAAGCACCAAAAAGGAAACTTGTTGAAGTGAAATGGACACTATGAGAAATGATGACCTGATCAGCCCTTGTCCTGATTGTCGAAGAACAACCTAATACTTTATCCCTTTTAGTATTTTTTTTGTTCAACTTAATACTACTGGTTGAACTCTTTAATTAACACACAATTTTTCTTAGGTGATTAAATTTAACTGAAAAGTGATCCTTGTTAAATGTAAGAGTGGGAATAAGAGAGGGAGGAGATGTACAGTGCAGCACATGCTCAATCGGACTTGCTCCAAACGGTAGAGTTGGAAACGTGCCAGAGAATTATAATTCAATCCCATCAAGGGGGCATGTACCAATGCCACCTCACTAGTCAAAGTGATCAGTTTCAGTTCACAATTGATCATAATGATAGGATTAAGAGTCAAAGGGATCACATAAACAAGACTAGTGTCTGCTAATACTAACTGATAGAATTAAAAAGGAGAGAACAATCCAACATGGAAAGTGGGATACACAGCAGACTCATAGAATGGCAGATATCCTAAACAGCACTCTGGCCTAGAATCAGCCCTTAAGGCATTCGGATCTGGCTAAAAAGCCCATGAGAGTATTTCAGGCATAGAAAGTCAAGACACTGTGGGAAAAAAAAAAAAAAAACACCTAAATGAAAGATCTCTGTGAGTGAGATCCCAGTGGAAAGAACGGGCCATCAAAGAAGGAAGTACCTTTCTCTGAAGGGAGGAGAAAACTTCCACTTTGACTGTGACCTTGTCTAAATAAGATCGGAGTTGGCGAACTCAAAAGGCTTCCATAGCCTTGGCAACTCATGACAAGAGCCTCAGTGATTACTGACACCATAAACAAGAGTGTCAATTGTTAAATCAACAAAGGGACTCACTGTGCACTTACTCCTCATGTAGGATCTCTGTCCTTAATATCTTGTACTATGTGAATTAACAGTATAACTAGTACTGAAACAGTATTTTACACTTTCTGTTTCTGTGTGGGTGCAAACTGTTGAAATCTTCACTTCGTATATACTAAATTGATCTTCTGTATATAAAGATAATTGAAAATGAATCTTGATGTGAATGGGATGGGAGAGGAGGTGGGAGATGGGATGGTTGTGGGTGGAAGGGTGGTTATGGGGGGGAGGGGAACCACTGTAATCCAAAAGCTGTACTTCGGAAATTTATATTTATTAAATAAAAGTTAAAAAGAAAAAAAAGAATTGGGGTTGTTGCTATGAACTGTGGAGCTGGAGATGTGGAAGACGCTTTGGAGTTGGTTTGCTGGAGAAGGCGGGAAGACTGTGGAGGAGCAGGCTAAAGAAATGCTTGGAAGGCTGTAAGCATAGAACTAGGACAGCCATGGTGAGGACTTAAAGGACCAGAGCAGAAATGTGAATGATAAAGGCCAGGCTGGTGTTTTTTTCTGGTGGAAATGAGGATTCTCTTGGGTACTGAACTAAAAGCCATCCTTGCTGTATAGTGACAAAGAACCGGGCTCTTTCCTGCCCATGTCCTGAGACTTTCTGAGAGACTGAACTCAAGCATGGTGGATTAGTTTGTTTGACCATGGAGACTTAGAAGCAGCAAAGTGTATAGGCTGTCGCCTAAGTGATATTGGCAGCTGCTAGTAAGTTCCTAGTGAAAATGGGGAGCAAAAAGGAATACAGTGAAAGCTTTGGAAAATTTTACAAACTGGCCTGGGAAAAGAGGGAGAAAAACTTGTTTGGGACAAGAAAATCAAGTAGAGAAACCACTTGTGGATTAGCTCAGATAAAAGGCATCCATGGGCAAAGCAATGGGAGAAAGAGCCGAAAGGCATTTTGGAGATCTTTCATTAACTTAAAATGTTAAGTACTTCATTTATTATTTTTAGCATAACATTTTTAATTTACATTATAGTCAGAGGCTTACTGGTGTCACTAAATAAAGATTTCAGCAAATATAAAATAAAAAGACCATACATAGTCCAGCAGGAAAATCAGCAATAGATATACAAGGTAATTAGAGAAAATATGTTCACCTTCATTGACATAAATTTTTAAATAGTCACAAAATCATTAAAACTATACCAGAATATAATTCCTACCAATTCTTTTGAAAAATATGTCAATTAATTTAATTAATTTAATTAGTTTTTTGATTAATTTTTATTTATTTTTTAAAATTTTAATTCAATATGGTTTGTAGATACAATGCTAAGAACATAATGATATTCCCTTCCTCTCTGGCTCTCTTCCTCCCTCTTTCTTCTCCTACCCTCCTTTCTTCTCCTTTTCTGTCTCTTTTTAGTTTTTGAGAAAAAACATTTCAATTTACATTACAGTAAAAAGGCTTACTATTTCATCAAATAAGAAGTTTAGTAAAATTTAAAAAGACCTTAGTTTAGTGGGAATATAGACAACAGCTATAAACAATAGAATGGAAATGACCAGTTCACCTATATACACTGTATTTGCAAAAAAAAATTGATACATTTAGGCATTTTTACTTTTTAATTTTAGTTCCCATATATAAGAGAGAACATGCATTGTCTTTTTGTGTCTGGCTTATTTCACTCAACATGATGTCTTCTGGTTCCAACCATTTTGCTCCAAATAATAGAATTTTATTCTTTTTTTTATTATTTGAAAGTTAGAGTTACACAGAGAGAGGGGAGAGGCAGAGAGAGAGAGGTCTTCCAACCGATGGTTCACTCCCCAATTGGCTGCAATGGCCGGAGCTGCACCAATCCAAAGCCAGGAGCCAGGAGCTTCCTCCAGGTCTCCCATGTGGGTGCAGGGGCCCAAGGACTTGGGCCATCTTCCACTGCCTTCCCAGGCCATAGCAAGAGCTGGATTGGAAGTGGAGCAGCCAGGACTAGAACCAGCGCCCATATGGGATGCCGGCACTCCAGGCCAGGGAGTTAACCTGCTGCACCACAGCACCGGCCCCGAAATTTATTCTTTATTATAGATGAATGATATTCATTTTCCTTATACATTTATCTGATGATGGACACTTTGGTTGACTGCATATTTAGACCAATGTGAACAATGCTGCTATAAACATCCTGGAACAGCTATCTCTTTGATACAATGAATTTATGTCTTTAAGGTATATACTTCATAGTGGGATTGCTTGATCACATAGCAAGTCTGTTTGCAGGGTTTTTTTTTTTAAGTTTTATTCATTTACTTGAAAGTCAGAGTTACACAGAGAGAAAAAGAAAGCAGAGAGAGAGAGAGGTCTTCTATCCGCTAGTTCACTCTCCAGATGGCCGCAACGGCCAGAGCTGTGCCGATCCAAAGCCAGGAACCAGGAGCTTCTTCCATGTGGGTGCAGGTGCCCAAGGACTTGGGTCATCTTCCACGGCTTTCCCAGGCCATAGCAGAAAGCTGGATCAGTAGTGGAGCAGCCTGTGTCCATATGGGATGCTTGCCCCACAGGCGGCTGCTTTACCTGCCACACCACAGTGCCAGCCCCTATTTGTAGTTTTTAAAGAAAGCTCCAGACTATCTGTTCACATTGGTTGCACTAATGTACATTCCCACCATTAGTGTGTCAGAGTTCCCCTTTCTCCACATCCTTGCAAGCATCTGTTCCTCTCTGTGTTTTTGGATGATAGTCATTCTTATAGAAGAGAACTAATATCTCATTCTGATTTTGATGCACATTTCCATGAAAGCTAGTGATATGAGAATTTTTCATAGATTTGTGGCCATTTGTATTTCTTTTTTGAGAATTATCTATTCATGTCCATTATCCACTTTTGTTTTATCCCAATTTTTATTTGTATAAAGGGAACAAATTTCATGTATTTCACATATAAAGTTTCAAGGATATAATGATACTTCCCATTCTACCCTCCCTTCTTACTATCCTCACTCCCACCTTCCCTCCCCCTTTCTTTTTTATTTTTCTTTTAATTTTTGAAATGACATACTTTCAATTCATTTTATAATCACAAGCTTAATTCTCTAATAAATAATGAAATCAACAAGTAGTAAGTAGAAAACCCAGGAGCATAGACAAGGGCTATAAACAATAATCAAATCATACACATTACATTTGGGGGGACTCTGTATATTAGTTGCCACAAATCAAGGAAAATATGTGATTGTTTTTTGGAGATTGACATTTCACTAAGCATAATGGTCTCCAGTTACATCCATTTTGTTGTGAAAGTCAGGATTACGTTCCTTTTTACAGCTGAGTAGTATCTCCTCATATTATATATGTATGTATGTGTGTGTGTATGTGTGTGTGTGTGTATATATATATATGTATGTATGTGTGTATGTGTGTGTGTGTGTGTATATATATATATATATATATGTATGTATACAACAGTTTCTTTACCAGTCATCAGTTGATGGAAATGTGGGTTGATTCTGTATCTTAGCTATTGTGAATTAAGCTGCCATAAACATGGGGGTAGAAATAACTCTTCCATATGCTGATTTTATTTCCTTTGGGTAAATTCCCAGGAGTGGAATGGCTGGGCCATATGTTTGATCAATTTTCAAATTTCTGAGAAATTTCAATACTGCCTTTCATGATGTTTGTACTAGTTTACAATCTCACCAACAGAGAGTTAGGTTACCTTTTTCCCCACATCTTCATCAGCATTTGTGATATTTTGATTGTTGGATGATATTCATCCTAACTGGGGTGAAGTGAAACCCCGTTGTGGTTTTTATTTGCATTTCCCTGATGGGTAGTGATCCTGAACATCTCTTCCTGTGACTGTTGGCCATTTGTATTTCATTCTTTGAAAAGTGCCTATTCATATCCTTAGCCCATTTCTTAGATTCTTTGTTTTGTTGTTGCTGAGTTGCTTGAGCTTCTTATATATTGTGGGTATTAAATCCTTATCAGATGCATAGCTTTCCAAAAGACTCCACTAAGAGACTATTGGAACTCACAAGAGAGTTTGGCAAAATGGCAGGATATAAAATCAACACATAAAAATCAATAGCCTTTATATATACAAACAATGCCATGGCTGAGAAAGAACTTGTAAGATCAGTCCCATTCATAATATCTACAAAAAAAATTTAACTACCTTAGAGTAAATTTAACCAAGGATGTGAAAGATATCAACAATGAAAAATTTTAAAACATTAAGAAGATAAATAGAAAACACAAAAATAAAAAATCTTCCATGTTCATGGACTGGAAGGATTAATATCAAAATGTCCATACTACTGAAAGCAATTTACAGATTATATGTGATCCCTGTCAAAACTATGAAAGATATTCTTCTCAGATCTAGAAAAATGATCAACAAATTCATATTGAGTCACAGGAGACTCCAAATAGCTAAAGCCATCAAAAAAAAACAACAAAAATAAAGCTGGAGGCATCAAAATACCAGACTTCAAGACATAGTGTAAATTATATTCAAAACTGCCTGGTTCTGAAAATGAGGCTCCCTATGGCCCCTAATACAGAATGGAGTCTGGCAGTGGTTATGTCATAGCAGCAAGGGTGTGGAGCTTGGAGGAGGAGAGGTGCAGTGTGGGTTTCCTTTCTTGAAGCAAAGTAGTCAACTTTGTAGGCTGGATGTAAAACCAGTGAAGATAGTGTGATTCTCCTGTAGTTAGGAAACACTCCAGGACCTTCAGTGATGACACTCCAACTTGTAGCAACTCATGCATGAATCACATGCCTGGCAAAACTGTAGAGGTGCGTTTGTCCAAACCGCTGGGAGCCCGGTCCCCTGCACAGTGTACCTAGGATGCCAGATGTGTAGCTTTTTTTTTTTTTTTTTTTGACAGGCAGAATGGACAGTGAGAGAGAGAGACAGAGAGAAAGGTCTTCCTTTGCCGTTGGTTCACCCTCCAATGGCCGCTGCAGCCGGCGCACTGCGGCCAGTGCACCACGCTGATCCGATGGCAGGAGCCAGGTGCTTCTCCTGGTCTCCCATGGGGTGCAGGGCCCAAGGACTTGGGCCATCCTCCACTGCACTCCCAGGCCACAGCAGAGAGCTGGCCTGGAAGAGGGGCAACCAGGACAGAATCCGGCGCCCTGAGCGGGACTAGAACCCGGTGTGCCAGTGCCACAAGGTGGAGGATTAATCTAGTGAGCCGTGGCGCCGGCCCAAATGTGGAGCTTTTAATGTTTGCACTGCTAGTTTTTGATCTTGCTTTGGTGTGATTGATTCTTTCTATTTCCCTATCTCCCCATTTTTCAAATGAAAATGTATATCCTGGGCCTGTCCCACCATTTTATGTTGAAATTTCATA